CACCTCGAAGTGCAGCTGACGTACTGCATGGCCACGAGGTTCACGTGCCGCCCCGCCGTCTTCTTGGCGCGTCCGTCGCCGAGTCGAGCGCCCCGACGTGCTGCCCCCGCGACACCGACGCCACCGACGGCTCCGTCACGAGCGTCAACGAGCCGCCCGTACAGCGTCGCGTGCCGGCTGCCGAGCGTCGCCGCCGCCGCGCCCCTGCTGGCGTCGTGCACCAGCGCCCGCAGCAGCGCCTCGAGCGTCGACAGGAGCATGTGGTAGTGGTCCTCGAGGCGGAGGCGGTGCCGCCGGATCACGACGCTCACGACGCTGCAGAGCGCTTCGTAGACGCGGGGCGACGACGACACGCCCACGCCGCCCTTGCCCGAGGCCACGACGGAGACGGCGCCGAGCGTCGTCTCAATGTTCCACTGCGTCATCCAAGTGCCGCGCTGGTCGAGAAGCAGGCGCACCACGTCGGCGGTCCGGCAGAACGCGCGGGCTGACGTCGTCCTGGCCAGCCGCGCCGTCAGCTTGCTGTGGGCCGTCGCCAGATCAAAGGACGTGGTCTTTTCGGATGAACCTTGTTCGTCTGCACCATGTCAGTCATTGACGGCAAGTCAAAAGTCTTCGTGAAAAATGCAGCAACATACCGGTCAGGCGAACGATAACCTGGTGAATAGCCAGGAGCTGTCCATCCACGGCCTGTTCTCCATCGAGCTCCTCGAGCAGGCTCTGGAGATACTGCAGCTTCTCGCTGCGTCCCATCCGTCTGACGATGGCGTCGACGCACGCATTCGTCGTCTCGCGCGAGCTGCTTGCCGATACCACGTCAGGGACGCTGCCCGTCCCCTCGCTCGCGTCATCAGACTGGAACAGCAGGCGAAAGTCAGTTGGTCGCGGCTGAGCAAGCTGAGGCGCAAAGTTGCCGATAAGGAACGTCCTGAGATGCCATCCCCGAAGATATCCCAGAGACACGGCGTCAGCGCTTGCCTCCTCGAGCGCCTTGATGTCAATCTTGAGCCCTTCCAGTGCGTCGCTTGGAAGACCTTCGGCAGCATCAATGGCGAGGAGGAGCTTGTTGATAGCTGCCCGGTCGTTGGAAGAGCGCCACTCGCGCGCATACGCGTCAAGGATACTCTGGACAATGGTCGCAAGACGTCCACGGACGTCGGAAAGGTCGAGCGAAGCATCGTCGCCTTCAAAATTGCCGGAACCTGACAGAACCTTGACCAGTGCTTTGAGGACTGCCAATTTTTAGAATGTCGTCCGAGGACTCCTCCTCGTTCTTGTCTAGGTGACGGCCGGCCTTCCTGAAGTACTTGGCACCCCACTCTTCGTAGTGGTCATTGATCTGTCGGATCGTCAAAGTGGACAGCTCGCAGATCAAGCGAGATGTGCCGAGAGCTGTCATCGGGTCCATGTCGGCTATGGCCGGGGATGCGCTTGTGGCGAGGGCAGTGAGATCAGAAAACGACATGCCTTCGTAGAATGTCGACCTCTGCATCACCTTGACCATCAGACCGAGGACGAGATTCCACGTAGAGGCCGACACCTTTTCAGTCTTGCTCTTCATCTTGCGACGTTGCAGCATGAGCGTCTCCATGATACTCTCTCGCTGGGGTCTCGAAAGCAACTCGCTGGGTGTGTTAATCAGGGCTTTGAGCGCTGCGCGTGTGCTTGCATCTTCCCAGGGGGAGGACTTCGAACCACTGGCCAAGGCCTCGATGACGTGGTCGATGATTCCTGCCGTAAGTTTGGTCTCGTGGAACACGTTCTCGTTCGAGAGCACAGCACTCAGAGCACTTGACAGCTGCTCTGATTCTTTCGGCGCGGCTTCTTTGTCATCGGAAAAGGCAATGATATGCCGCAGAAACTCTGGCAATGTGTCGGCCTTTCCGCTAACAAGAGGCAGAAACCGTGACGCTTCTCCCAAGGCAAAGTCCACATAGGACGTAATCGTAACAGAGGATGTGATCGGCCTAGTCTTCGGTGTTGAAAGCTGGACGGCATATGGGTCCCATGGTGTTTCAAGGGACCCTGGCTTTAGCTTTCGAAGTTGCTTGGCTAATCGGTCGGCGAAAGATCCGAGTGCTGCAGCAAGCTCCGCTACATCCTGGCCATCTGGGAATGCTGACAGCCACAGCTGAGTGGCGGCACGGAAAGCCTCGAACGTGTCGGGATTTTCCAGCTTGCCCTTGGCCAAAATCTTCTTGAGTTCGGACTGCACCTTCGATCGAACCTTGGAAGCCTCCTCATTGCTGACCCAGGAAACCGTGCTCGCGATGATTGGCCAGCGAAGAGCGATGAGGTCGGAAGGCAGAGTATCGGACAGCCAAGCATCCTGCATGAGGTCGAAGAGCCTCAATTGCACTGCATCCACAAAGTCGTCGCTCTTCAGAGCAGCTGCAATTGTGTCGAGGAAAACCAGAGTTGCCGCCGGCAGGGCGCTTCCTTGCTCCTCAACCCATTGCAGCACACTCAGGAGCTGCTTTGGTGTGAGAGAGTTTTCGATGGCTGTCGTCAGGCGAGGATTACGATGCACTGCCGAGGAAAACCAGGCTGGCCGGTTCGTTGCGTCCGAGAGTAAAGAGGCGTCGCACTTGATGAGTTGCTCAAACCACTTCCTCAAGAAGGAAGACAAGTCGCGAGCCTTCTCGTAGCCACCAATTATGCAGTCGAAAAACGTGCGCACAGCCCCTAGATCTTCTTCGCCACCTAGGGAAGATTGTGGTTGCAATAGCCGATCCGCAACCGTGTTCAGCAATAGAGCTCCATCGTCCGTGAGAAGGAAAACATCGGGGTCGCATTGTGCCACGAGTGACAAGGCTTGCCAGTCTGTAGAATCGCTGCCGAGAGCGTGTTCCTTGCACAGGGCGCGGAGATCTTCCAAGTCAATATGTGACCTGTTGGCGATTGCTTCGCCAAGCATGATCTTCAGAGTGGTGGATTTCTTCTGTTGGGTCAGGTCGTGCAGGCCGTCGCGCGCCAACTTGAATGTTGCCTTGGCCCAGTCCTCCTCGGACGTCGATGCGCTCGGCCCGGAGAGAATCCGGGGTGTTGTGGACGCCAAGTGAAAGAACACGGGGCGCGAGACTGAGGCGATAGGTCTAGAGGCGTCGACTGCCCGGATGGGTGCTTCGAGGTCCGTTCGATTGAGGAAAGCCGATTTTGCAGGAAGAAAAAGATTGCGATGCATGAAGCTCTCTAGTTGTTGTATCCAAGAAGACTTGACACGGCCCTCAAGTGTGATGTCGACATCGATTGCCAGCCCAGTCAGCTTTCCCAGGAGGCCAAAGGCAGATCGCGAAAGGTAGAGAGCCACCTCCAAGCTATCGGTCTGCCCGTGCAGTCGCAGGTTCCATATCGCGGACAGTGTGTGAATCCAATTCTCTTGCGTTTCGGCGCAGCTCAGGTCGCTGGTGGCTGAATATTCGCACAGCGAAAGGATGGGCGCCAGGTAGGTAACCACATCACTGGCAGGTTGCGAGAAGAGACCCTTGATGTGCTCTGCGCCCATGCGTTCATTCTGGGACGTGTGTGCGGCTCCATCAACACGAGCTAGGAGAATTCGGAGCGCTCCCAGAACCGCATCTCCCGTACTTATACAGCCGTCCCGTGTCTTCAAAGCTTCGAGATCGAATGTAACCTCGAGTGTTCTCTTCCTCTTCTTCGACAATGTCGCGGGGACAGCATCCTTGGGTGTGACCGGCTTCGAGATGCTCTTGAGAGTCTGTTGCAAGATGGCCATGAACTTTCGATCGGCGAGAGATTTCGCGAGCGAGAATAGAGGTATCCTTTGAAATGTGCAGCCTAGGATCCGCCATGTCAAGGGAAATCTTCGCAGAGTGTCGGCGGCATCGTTGTTGGTCTTCATGGACTTGAGAAGCCATCGCAGCACAGTCTCCTCGGCGGCGTAGAAGTGACTGGAACTAACGGATGTGAGAAGAGTCCAGGTGCGCTCGATATGTTCACCATCGTTTCCCGGTCCGGTTTGGTCGAGTGATCGTACGGTCTTGACAAGGTCTCGTCCACGGGTCTGTTGGGTGCGAATTAGATGCGATTGGTGCGTGCAGTGAATCATATCTACTTACGGAGGTCTCCGTAGAGCCATGGCCATGACCATTTGTTATTGTCACATCCATGGCGAGAGAATGAGCGAATGTGGTAACCGTGAAGGTCAGCGTGCAGACGATCGATCACTCAAGATTCAGACCTTCAGTTGTAGCTCCCCGCCCAAAATTATTTCCCGGAGAAAATACTGCCGCTCCACTCATGGTCACCGAAGCTCACCGGTGTCTCACCGCCTTCGGGTATTCCAGGTTGGTTCTCCCGACCACCTCGAAAATAACATGACGGAACCGTCCTTGATTGAAATCCGACGTCAGTTCGAGATCCCAACCACACCACTAATTGCCCAATCGTGTCGCACGTGTACGTCGCAACGCCTCGCCATCAACCCATGTCAATTGGCGCCGACTGACGATTCTACAGCTCCGCAATCATGTCTGACACCGCCATCCGTCCTCCTCCGAGCGCCGTCGCGCGACCCGTCAGTGAGGCACTTCTCAACGAGAAGGTACGACAGCTTCCCGAGAGCACTCGATCCATCGCAAGCTTGGCGTGCCAACAGCTAACACGAAACAGTGGGACCGCTGCCTTTCTAACCTCCTCGTCAAGTCGTCTCTCGGTCTCGGCTTCGGCGTCGTCTTCTCAGTCCTCCTCTTCAAGCGGAGGGCGTGGCCCGCCTTTATTGGCGCTGGCTTCGGAGCCGGTCGGGCGTACGAGGAGTGCAACTTCAACCTGCGACAGGCGGCGAGGGACCTGAAGAAGCAGGCATAAGCAACAACAGACCAGACGACCAGGGGAAGAGCACGAGACCACCAACGACGTGGAACAGCGCCTTATACAAAAGCGATACGACTGGTAGCAACATGCGCGCGGTGGAGCTACGACTTTCGGGCACCTTGATATCGGCCGGGACAGACCGAACGAAAGGCAGAATGAGCATAGGTTAGGGAGGGTGGAGAGAAGTGGAATAGATTCACTATGTACACCAGTCCGTCTTCATGAGTCGTTGTGAAGCTTTCGTGAGTTCTGTACGCTGCTCATCTCTTACATTGAAGGCGATCACCGCCCTTCTGTCTCAGCGTCGGCCAAAACATCCAGAAATACGACCCGACTCGATCTTCGTCGCGTGCCCGGCGGGCCTTCCATCTCACGAGCACTCGCTTCGGTACTCTCGGGTTTGTCAAGCAGAAGCTCAACATCATTGTGCCGGTCGGAAGCGGGGCTGAGTAATGCAGAAAGGTCGCTGCTCAGCCGGCGGAATCCTTGAGAACAGGCATCCCCTATGTTCTACAAGAGGGAGCTTTGGATGCTGCTTGTGGAGCTGGTCGACATACTTCTTTCAAAAGAGCCAATCTCTCTCTGTACGCCACTGACCAGGGAGACGCTCCGACGACGGACGCTGTCTACAAAACCCTCGCTGGCTACGACGCTTTCGGGTTCGGAGTCATCATCTTGTTGCCAGCGCATGCTATTACGGAGCGATTCGCGATGTTCCGATGCTATCCGCTCCCGATCGGCCCGGATTCCGGCGCCATAATACAGAACTATGCCTAGTATACTGACGAGAATGAAGAGAGTGGATGCGAGGAGCATAATCTCAAATTTCTTCTGCTGCAGTTCGCGCATTTCATAAGACATCCTGGTCTACGCCTCAGATGGGTCGATTTGTGTTTGTTTGAATAACTGGACTGGCCAGTGCTGGGTTGCTTGAATTCAAACTCGGACGTCTCCTAACTTTCGTCCAATGGAGGACAGTCGGACCAGCAAAAATATTGATAGGGAGTATCGGAGCGATGGTTTTGACGTCGGATATCAGGTCGGGTCGAGGGGGCTTTCAGGTCATTGGTAACTTGAAGTGCCAGGGTATTGGTATTGAGGATCCCAGCAAAATCTCCCCTCTTTCTCTTCGTGAAAGCAGCATTCTCACGTACAAGTATCTTCCTCTATGGGTATCTCCGATCCATCGGTACTGCCTTCCCCTTACAGTTTGAGAATGATATGTGAGCCCCATTGTGCTTGCCTCTGTAGAATCCTACGTACCTTGCTTGGTGGAAGTTTTGGCCCGCTGGCGCAGTGGCTGGCTGTCCTGTGAAAAGCTTATCCTACCTTACCTACCTAGGTACCTAGGTAGGTAAGGCACCTTGCTTTACCTAGACACCTTGGTAGGTAGGTAGGTAGGTAGATAGGTAGGTATTAGCCTACCCTGTGCCGGGTAATCAAGGTTAGCGAAACCTGAATGTCCGTTATTTTCACGATTTTGGACTTCGCATTGGGTTGCTCCATGAATTGACTCGGTTTCGTAGTTATGGGGGCTTGCTTTGCAGTACGTAGTGATCCAGCACGAACGATGCAGCATGATATCAAGCACCGACGAGCCCCCTGACGTGCAACGCATTCACGCAACACAAGAGTACCATACTAAGCATAACACGCAGTATTATTTTTGAAATTTCCATCCTGTCCTTTTTCTTCTCAAGCAAATCCCAACACTTTTAACTCCTTCACCATGTAACAGGGAAACGTAGACACAGCCTGCCCGTCCTCTTCACGCCAGCTCCGGATGATAGCTTCTCCTGAACAAACGCGTGGCAGTGCGGTAGGAATACCCTGTGCGTAACCCGGCCTGTTCCGACCGCACTGGTGCATAGTCCGGATTGGCAAGGATGCTGCGTGGGTCGGTGTTGGAGCACTTTCCGTAATACTTGCCCTGTCTGAGCCGACGAAGCCTGATCATAAGATGTATGATCTTGTAGACAATCAGGAAATAACATACTGCCCCAGCAAAGGTGAGCACAACAGAGACCGAGGGGCCAAGCTGTGGGTTGCTGCTGCTCATCGGGAACATCGGGAATGCATCATAATCGGCCCACTTGACAAGCGGGGGTCTGTTGAACCGGCGTCGGAGGCGTTCGTAGGGCCCGAGGCTGCGCTCGTTCATCTGAGGCGGCGGCGGGAGTAAGGCATGTGCAGCCTTCTCGCACTCTGGCGTAGCTGTCCCAGCTTCCTGTACAGCCGGCATATCAGACATCGCATAGTCCCAGGCTCCCCGCTTCTCCTGAAAAAGAAAACGTACCACAAGTTCACTGCACACCTGGATATAATCCTTGAAAGCTGTCCAGCGGGAGAGCTCTAGTGCCTCTTCAGACAAATACTGGCTTTTGAAGCTAGGGAACACGGAGATGATGGCGACCAGCAGCCCGGCAAAAGCAACAAAGAGCGCGATGCAACTGGCTGCAAACTTGTGGGCTTCAAACCATCTTCCTACCTGAGCGAGAAAGGTAGTCTGGGTCTTGGTAGGAGCATCCTGTGGTTGCGGTGAGACCTGATCTGATGAACCTGCGACTGCCCCCGTCGTCTGTGATGGCACGTCCGCAGCAGTGTAGGGTGGCGGCAAAGTGGCGACAGGCTGAGAAGGCTTCGTTGGACCAGGGGCGTCATGCTCTTCGGCAGGGTGGTCGAGAGAAACCGGTAGGGAGTTGGGTCCGCCGGCCCCCGCAGGAGGCGACGCCGACGAACCTGGGTCAATCGGTATGTGCATGTCGGCAGACATGAAGCGACATTTGGGTAGAGATTCACAACCTTTCCCTGTCACCAAATGGTGGTGAAAGAGGGACGTCAGCCTTATGTACCGACGTGCAGTCAGTTTAAACACTTCCGAGTCCGATGAGGGGCGTCAAATTCGCGGCCCCCAAGTTTCGATTACGACATATTAAGGCTCTACGATTACGCCTCGGGGGGTGACCAGGCTATGCCGTCCTGTTTCGACACCGACGGTTGGAATCGCCTAGGCTGACAGGCCACTACCGGGCATCATTGGCTCGCGGCTCGCGGTTCAACCAGTTATGTTCAAGACGGTATCAAGCCACTGGCGTGAAAACCCCCGTCCTCAGCTCACCTGCCTGATCGCCTGTGACCGGCGATGCCGCCTTGCATACAGAACTGTATGAAAAGGGGGTCAACGCGCTCGTCGCAACATCGGTGCGATTTCCTTCACTTGACTCAAGTGGAGAGACGGCGTTCCTGTAAGAGTCGAGACTGAGGGAGGAGACTGTGCTAGAGAGGTTGAAATGCCTTTTCGATGATTGGCCCTGTAGATCAGCAACGGCTGAGTCATCCTGCACCGGCCGAACCGACCCGAGCCGCCACCATCAGCTGGGCTCTTTACATCGCATCCTCGGTGGGTAGAATTTGTCAGATGCCTTCGTCACAACCAAACCCACGTTGACCTGCCCGCTCCGCCACATTGTATCAATATGGCCTCTCTCCGGTGCGCGAACCCAGCATCTAGTGCTGGACTGTTTGTCCAGCTCGCCAGGCGCACGACGACTACCACCGCCACACCCGTACTCGACATTCTAGCTCCGCGATGGAGTCGACAGACCGCTCGCCTCGAGGCTGCGTACAGCACCACGACACACCGCGCATGGTGTGACAAACATCCAGCAACAATAAATACAATTACAAACTCTCGAGGCCGTGTTCTGAAGAATGTCGGGCAGAGGAGAGCTTTTTCGCACCTCCCCGCACGACAAGCCACGGCCTGCGTCCACAACCTTCAGGTGGACGAGGACGGAAAGGAGATGCGCCTCGAAATCACGGATCGTGCCGGCAAGGTACTTACTTGACCTCCTATATGCCACCGGACCGTATTCGTGTGCTGACAGACTACAACAGCGCCTGCTTCAAATCATGAAGAAGGACAAGAACCCGGACCTCGCGCTACGCATCCAGGTCGAGAGCGGTGGCTGCCACGGCTTCCAATACCTCATGAGCTTGGTCACCCTCCCGCCAGCAGAGGGAAGCGACGGAAACGTGTCGGCGGCAGTGGGCGAGGACGACAGCATTTTCGAGTACGCTGAGGGGGAGGAATACACAGCAACGTCACCGACGCCGGGAGCGCCCAAGATTGTGCTGGACCAGCCATCACTCGACCTGCTCAAGGGCAGCAAGGTCGACTTTACGATGGAGCTGATTGGGTCGCAATTCAAAATTGCGGACAACCCCCTGGCGACGAGCAGCTGCGGATGCGGAACGAGCTTTGACATCAAAATGTAGCAGTATCATAGTTGTATCAACAAACATCACGGCGGAAACAAACATTGGATGAGGAGTCACTTCGGATTGATCGAGACTACCAAACAGCACGCACAAGAGGGTGGACCCGGTAATGAAGTCTGAAAAAGCTCAATTTCACAAATCCCCTTTTGTGATCGTAACGCCGTGCGACCATGAATCATAAAGCCCTTGGTATTTTTCTCAACCTATCAACAGAGACGACCCAAACACAGTCCGCAGTGAAGGGACCAACGCTTAGTTCATCTGGCGGATGAGGGCGTTGATCTTCTCCTCGCGGTTGCCAAGGTCACCACCCTCGATGAAGTGCTTGAACTTGCGGGGGCGGAAGCCACCAGTGGGGTTGGAGAGCTTGAAGGGCCACAGGAAGTTGGCGGCCTGCTTGAAGTTGGGGCCAACGGTGTAGATCTCGTGGATGAGATCCTCCATGCAGATGATGCCGTACTTGCCGAGGTTCTCCTCAATGATGGAGTTGTCGGTGAGGGCAATGCGCTGCTTGTTGACCTTGCCGTATCCGCGCTTGTAGATGAGCTCCTTGATGGACTTCAGGTTGGGGTAACCGTAAGCGACCCAGGGCTCGATGACCTTGATCATCTCAGTGGTGGCCTTGGTGACGCGGATGAAGACACCGTTGTTGATCTGGAGGAGACGCAGGAGCTGGAGGATCTTGCGGGGCTTGGGGGCGATCTTGTTGATACCCTTGATACGGATAAGGAAGATCAGGTTGGCCTCGGCAGGAACGTAGGCAGAGTCGCTCTCGCGGGCGACGCGAGCAAGGCGGACCTTCTCGCGCTCTTGCTCGCGGTACTCCTGGACGTACTTCTCGGCACGCTTGAAGATGACCTCACGCTTCTCCTTGTTGTTCTGATTGACAATGTTAGTCCATGAGCTTCTCCAGACGCGAGAGTAGGCAGAGGTGACAGTGTCCGGTAAATCTCAGACCCGAAAGAAGATGTAATTTTAAACAACAGCAGCGACACCAAGTGTCTAGTCGATTGGGGTATTTTATGCATCATGAAAATCCAGAGGGGAGCTGGGACCAGGACAAACTTACGGTCTTCTTCTGGTCGTTGGCGGCGTTGCGCTCGGCACGAGCCTTCTCTTGCGACTTGCGCTTCTTGAGAAGGGTCTCGGGGACCAGGATCTGCTCCTTGGTGGGGACGGAACTAGAGGACGAGATTAGTACGTAGTCCGGCATACCGCAGTATGGAGCAGAGCGCCGGTGCGAGAATTGCAGCAGTGCGCGACATTCTCGCCTTGGCTAACTCGAGTTGATGCATTTGATCGGTAAGCCCATGTTGAACAAACCCCGTCTCCGGCGAGTAGGGAGTCTTGTCAAGCTGACGCTTATCCGACAACATCTCAGGTGCGAGCTGAGGAGGTGTGCATGCTTGGAATGTGACTGCTCGAAAAGCCTTTCGGCGTCATGAGCAGCCACCAAACAGCAATGTATTTAGAGGAGAAGATTTCTCTTCATCCCCAACACCCCGAGACATCGTCTCTCAATCCGCAGGCTGTGTTCCAAACCTGCAAGAAGGAGGGAGATGCTCGAGAAAAATCGAGCTGGGAGAGCCGAGTTTCACCACATGGTGAAGCAGGGAATCCAGTTGAGAAGACCACGACAATCTGCATTCATCGCCATCCAGGCGTCGTAGGGAAATTCATGGGGAGCAGTAGACATACGAGCCAGCCATTGCGATTGTCGGTCGAGGGTGTCGAGGGTGATTGTCGATGGTCGGAGTCGGGATGGAGAGGGACGAACAAGAGGAGAAGAAAAGGCGTCAAGAAAAGTGAAGTGATGTGAATGGGGGCCCTAGGGCGGTCAAGAGAAAGAGTGGGGCTTTTCCTTGCAGAAAAAAATCGCTTAGGTGCTGAGACGAATTGGTGGGTGGGTGATTTTTGGCAGGTAGGGTTGAAGCCCCATTTTCGGACTGGCGGTCAGTGCTCTGGCTCGCTGTTCTACCCTACCAGCGAAACCTCGAAACAGTCCATCGCCAATCCTCACAAACGACGACCTCATCCCTCTTCGACAGAGTCACCAGAACGACAAGATGGCCCCCAAGTCCAAGGCTCCCCGCGCTCCCCAGGAGAACATCTCCCTCGGACCTCAGGTTCGCGATGGTAAGCTTTTCACGTCTGCGCTGTGCGACAGCCGCCCTGTCGCAGCTCCCCCGCCTTGGGAAACTTTTCACGATGCTAATACCACGTTTTCTCCAGGCGAGCTTGTCTTCGGCGTTGCCCGCATCTTCGCCTCCTTCAACGACACCTTCGTCCACGTCACCGATCTCACGTTCGTCTCCCCCTGATTGCAGCGCGGCGCCAATGCTGTACCCCGCGAAAGCGACCAGCTTGGGCGGTTGCTGCTGAAGAATACATACCCTATCACGCATGTCATGGTTTAGAGGCTAACCTGGGTGATTCCAGTGGCCGTGAGACCATCTGCCGTGTCACTGGTGGCATGAAGGTCAAGGCCGATCGTGACGAGTCCTCCCCCTACGCCGCCATGTTGGCCGCTCAGGACGTCGCTGTCCGCTGCAAGGAGCTCGGCATCACCGCCCTCCACATCAAGATCCGCGCCACCGGCGGTAAGTCCAGGTACCCGCTCCATTCTTTGACATGCATTTGCTAACGCAGCGTTCAGGTAACGGCACCAAGACCCCCGGCCCCGGTGCCCAGTCTGCCCTCCGTGCCCTCGCCCGTTCCGGCATGAAGATCGGCCGCATTGAGGACGTCACCCCCACCCCCTCCGACTCTACCCGTCGCAAGGGTGGTCGCCGTGGTCGTCGTCTCTGAGCGACAGGCACAATCAAAAAATGGTGTCTGGCATCAGAGTCGTCGAGTGGGGACGGCAACGGTCAGGAGTGTGCTCTGCGGATTGGTCTCTTGGGTGGCATCGTCAAAAACGAGGGGAACGGCACTTTTTGCCTGGTCTCCATGTTCTACGCGCTTTGTCGCGTCTTTTCGGCCGGCTGTAGCTGAAAAGTAGACAGAATAGAAATGCGCCGTATGGCCCTGAACTGAAGAGCAGCTCCTGATACATCACATCTGTGCCTTGTCGCCCACTCTCTCGGTGAAAGTGTTATTCGAACGAGTCAAGCTTGTAGCTTCAACTGATTGTCTGAGGTCAATTCAAAGGAGCAGAAGGTGTTATGGTCTCTACCTGACCGGGACATCTCAAGACTGCTACGAAGCCCCTGCCGTGACGTCCTATCCATTACATATCGTCTCAGCTCAACGCCTTCCTCGCTCATTTGTAAGCCGGCCGCAAAGACCATGTGCTACGACCAGCGCCTCCGGACTTGTTGATCTTAGCGACCCTCTCCAAGGCCTCCATGAATCGCTCCTTCACCTGCGCCTTGCCCTTTACCTCGTGGTTGAAGTGATCCACTATCGACTTCGTAGGTACCGTGCCACTGTGCCGCTTGATGAACTCAATGATTTTGGGCCCAAAATCTACGGTCTGCACTTTCTGTCCGACAGGTGAAGGCGATGCGCCCATACCTTGCCGGGCAGCAAGACGACTCATTATGCCAGCACTGCTCGGTGCTGCGCCGCGACGGCGGTTGTGTGCACCAGGACGTCCCGCTTCGCCAACTTCGCCGGTCCAAGTTACTGTTCCCGGGGTAATGGTGCGCGCCTGGACATGCGCTCGGCGTAAACTCGCTGCGGCTGTGGCTGCGACGGCATTTGCCTCTTGCGTGATCATTCCGCGATCGGCCTGCACTGTCTTCTTGCCATTCATGACCTTGTCGTGTTCATAAGCGCTCTCGACATTGCGAGCAAAGATGCCTTCTACCATGCGCTTCTCGTCCTCAACCTCCTCTGGGTTGTTTGTCTCTTCCATGCCTTGTACGCCATCGATATTCTGAACTTGACGCGTTTCCTCGCAGCCAGTCTGGGGTCTGCTTTCACTGCTCACGGATGAGATTGGCACTAGACTGGCAGGAGCATTCTCTTTGGGAGGTGTGGTTCCGTCGAATTTGACTTGGGCATCTTTGAGAATACTGCTCCGGTCGATATTGCCCTTGCTGTCTTGAGAATTGCCGAATGTGAAGAGGTCGTAAAGATCCGATAGATCGAAAGCAGCTCGCTGTTTAGGGTCTTTCAATACCTTGTTTGTCATGAACTGCTTGAAGATTTGGCGATGATAGATCTTCTCTTCAATAGTGCCAGCAGTCATGAGACGGTAGATTTCAACAGATCGAGTCTGCCCAAGACGCCATGCTCTCTCACGAGCCTGCATGTCTGTGGAAGGGTTCCAGTCAGGATCAAAAATGATGATTCGGTTTGCACCCGTCAGGTTGACTCCAAGACCACCCGTACGGGTTGTCAGGAGAAAGATGTCAATCTCGGGATCCGTGTTGAACCGATCAATGAGACTCTGCCTCTTCTCGATGGAGGTTTCGCCGTCCATGCGAACGTACTTGACTGTCTCAAGACCACCCAGAAATTTCTCGATGACATTCAGCATCATTTTGCTCTGTGAGAAGAGCAGTGTCTTGTGGCCAAGCTTTTTCCAGATTTGGAGGAGATTCCGCACAACTAACATCTTCCCTGATTTCTCAGGGTCTCCCCAATCGTAGCCTGCCTTGTTTTGAAGGTGAGGGTCGATAAGGTCAGGGTGATTGCAGATTTTGCGCAGAATGTCAATACCATAAAGGGATTTCCGTCGGGCGCTTAGAATCTGGTTGACCGCATCAGAATTCAGAAACTGTTTGTAAGCTTCGAGCTGCCTATCTGTCATCTTGCAGAACAGGACCCGTTCTGTCTTGGAGGGAAGGTCGGCGGCAACGTCAATTTTGAGCCGCTGCAGGAGGTATTGGCTGATGGCTTCTTTGAGAGTCTCGGCACATTTCTCAGCTGTCAGGATTTGCAGATTTGTAGCACCAGCATAACCGCCCTGCTTGATGGGCACCTCAAACTGGGTGCGGAACGTAACCAGAGTGCCCAATCGCATAGGGTAGATGAAATCGAAAAGCGACCAGAGTTCCGAAAGATTATTTTGCACAGGTGTGCCAGAGAGGATGATTCGGTTGGGGGTCCGCAGCTCCTTGCACAGGACTGTGATCTCGGCGTTGGGATTGCGGATCTTGTGGCCTTCATCGAGTACTGCATAATCCCACTCCACATGGAGCAGCTCGTCTTGGTATGTCTGGAGACCGTTGTAGGTAGTCACTAGCACGTGTCCATGCTTGACCACTCTATCAACTATTTTACGGACAGACTTGTCACGCCTCCCGTTGTGTGTTTCCTCGTCTGTGTCATCCTCGCGCAGGTTTATCATGCCGCTTCCTGACGAGTGTAGGATGGAAACACGTAGAGCCGGCCACCAGCGGTGGAATTCGTTCACCCATTGACGCAAAACTGTGGCGGGAGCAACAATGATGACGGGTTTGGTAAGCTTCTTGCTGTAATGCAAGGCCGCAATGAAGGCAATGGCTTGTACTTTTTGAATTGTCAGCATGGGTCGACTTAAGACGTCATAATCAGTTTACCTGTCTTGCCAAGTCCCATCTCGTCACCGACGATACCCCCAACGTTTTGCGAATATAATTCGGCCAACCACTGAACACCAGTTTTTTGGTACGAAAACAGAGAGGGATGTATGTCGCCAGGAAGCCTGAGATCATCATTGATCACATAGTCCTCCTCGTCTGGCGAAGGCTTGGACCATTCCGGGCCACTGGGTTCCACTGACGTATCGCCAGCTTCTAATCGTCGCTGTTTCCGAGCTTCGCTCCGCCTCTCGGTCCAGTCTGCCAGACGCTGTTGGTACGAACGCTCGTTTCCATCGTCAATGCTGCTCAGATCGTCGTTTTCCGTTGTGGCTGCAGTCTTCTTGCCTCTGGCCTTGGTCGTTCGCTTGAGGTTGCGTGAACTCGTATCATCCTCTGAGGTGTAGGCTGCAGCGGATTCTGGCGACGGCGCATCCGATGTGGCAGCCGAAGCAGGGTCAAAATCATCGTCAGAACCAGCTTGCTTGACCTTCCTCTTCTTGCGGGGACGTAAACTGAATTCGGTTTCCACGGCGGCAGGTGCGGGTGCGGCATCCGCAAACCCAGGGCGACGGAGAATCTGATGGGAGGTGGGTTCCTTGTCGTTGGCTGCCAAAGCCTCTTCCTTGGCCTCGTCCTCGGCTTCCAGCAGCGTGTCGGCAAAGTCGCCTTCAAACCCTTCAGGGCGAGGGCCGCCAATGGAGGCAAATGGCGTGATCTTTCCGGTCCGCACCAAGTAGTCGCGGCGGCTCTCATTAGGCAGCTTCAGCGACTTTCCCTGCGCAACTTCCTGTTCGGCGGCGGCCACCTCTTCCTGGCGGCGCTCCAGACGAGCCTTAAAATCAGCCACGTCACCGTCAATTTGCCTGATCTCCAGCTCGAGCTTGTCGAGGGTCTTCTGGATATTGCGTGACTGGAAGACGTTATTGCGGTTGGCTTCAAGCTTCTCACGTTCCTTCCTTCGTTGGGCCTCAAGTCTCGTCTTGCTAGCTTCGAGCTTGTCGATTTTGGCCTGGTCGTTCTTATCCTGTTGCTCCTTGATGGCTGCATTGGCCTGAAGTCCGATGTCTCTTTCGAGATCTTCTTGATCTCGAACATCGGCGGTAAGGTTGCGGAGGGCAGCCTCCTCATCCAGTGTGTCGTCGGAAGCCATGGCAGTTGAAATGTGTGTAATGTGGGACCTGAGGGAGGGTGCTCAAGAAATCACGAGAACCGTGAGAGAGCGTAGATTCGGCAGTAAATGGCGTCAATTCAGACGGGGCCCTCCAGGTAAGACTGCTCCTGCGCGGTATAGGTTGTGCATGGGGGTGATCTGGATGAACCTTCCCCTTTGATGGGATTAACGATCAGTGACAGAAAAACGTCAGAACGATGGTGCCCCGTCTCGAAGCACGAGGATCCTGGGGAATAGGATGTCAAGGTTTAGGAAGAAATTGAGTCCTGCCACCCATTTCAGACGGAAGGAACTTCCTGCCTGTAGAATTCGGGAAAGCGCAGTCACAAAAAATATCGCCGTCGTGAATTCACAGTGTAGCCCAACTTTTGTAAGCCAGAAAGACGTCAAGACACAGCATGACGCATGACAAGGGAACGTTCGGGGAGCTGCACGGACCATGCTGCTGCCTTGCGACCAATTAAATTGGGAACGTCGACAACAGGCATCAACGAACTGTCTGGGGTGGGATCAATTCACATGGCTCAGTGTTGACGACTATTTGATGGAGTAACATGACAACCAAATTTTCGCATGGCTACACAAGGGCTAGATGTAAGTATATCACTTGAGATGCCAGGATCATGTTGACGTTGGGGAGAGGAAACACAAGCTCAATTCCACCTCAGTTCTGCCGTAATAATAGACAGCGTCTTGGCCTGGTCTTCACTGGCCCAAACAACCTGATCTATAGATATGCCGGATGAAGCTGCAGAGAACTAGCCACTCTACCGATTCGCACAATTTTCTCTCAGGTTATTCACTACAGAAGAAAAAGAGAAAAAAAGTGGTCGCCTCCAAGAAGCAGCCTTTAGCTTTGCTAAAAAGAGCCTGGGTTACATCCCGAGGCCAGACTATGTTGCCAAACACTCGTCACAGGTCGATGGCTCATGACAACCAACATCGAGATGATACTTGTCGAAGCAAGACGAAGCAAGACAAAACAAGACCGACGAGAGCAGGATTTGAACCTGCGCCACCGAAGTGAATAGATTTCTAGTCTATCGCATTAGACCACTCTGCCATCTCGCCGAATGCTGCGAAGCTGGATGCCAGGCCGAGGCGGCAGCAAGAGGATAAGTAGTGGACAGGGTAGCATATGGCTTGTGGAGTCGTGTCGAGAGGAACAGCGGACGAGGGCTCAGATGTGGATGCGCTGTTTTTATCTGATCAAGCGGCGTTCTGGGTCAGGGCACTCCTGGTGTAAGGTACCTAGGTGGATGTTTTTTGTGGGATTCGCGTGGATATGAACACGCCGAATCTGAGATGGGTGCGCGGGGTGTCGCCTCGTGAGGACGAGTGCCAGGAAGATGAGCGTCAGTGGCCGTTGGCTTCATGTCGGCAACGTCTCCGGCATTTTGCATCGACAAGACAGATGAAACCTCTCCAGGGACCTAGGGAGGTATGAATTGATCAAAGTTGCACGTACGGAGCGGCAGATCGCAGGCAGATATACGTACCCAGAGACCGAGGTGTCGGCAAGCCACCTCAGGGCAAGGGACACCAAGGGCCAACCGTAGCGCCCTGCGGCGCCGGGGTCTGGGGCACAGACACCCCTGAGTACCTGCCTCGTCACCATCTTGGTGTGGTTAGCGAGGTACCTACAAGCCGCGCTACGTTCTGCCGAGGTCTCCCCCTCCAGGGCCGAAGTCCGACTGCCGCCTCGTGCGAGCTGCCAGGTGGAAGGACGTGGGGGGAGACGAAGAAGAAGAGGCAGATGGCGGCACTTCCACTCGCTGCATTCGCTGCCGACCCCTTCTCCCCAACATTAGACATTGGAGACCGTGTTTTTGCTCTCTGCCATCAGCCCTTCTTCGTGTAATTGTTGTATCGATGACCAGCTACCAGTGAATATCGCATCTCTCTCTTCATCTTGTTGTCATTCGTCGTCTATACCCAGCCATACCGAGCTTTCCTAGCCAGCGACCTGAGCAACGCCATCATACTTCCGAGCCCTCGACGCTAACCCGTTACCTCTCCTCGATCCTGCAGCTCTCCCCGAATATACCGACAGCCCTGGAGCATCAGTCCCAACGACGCCATAACCATGACTGAAGCAAACGCCATCACAGACCTGCCCTCTGGCGAGCCCATCGCCCCGCCGACCCCAGCACCAGCTCCCCCCAAGCTGCCCCTCAGCGCCATCCTCGCCGCGACGCCCTCCAACATTGACGCCTTCATTGCCCACCTCCACCGTTGCATGCAAACCCCTTCGGGCATCGACACGGTACTCCTCTTCATCGGCTACACGGCCCGCCTCTCTTCGAACCTTCTCGACGCCGCCAGCCGCTCGGCGCTCCACCGCTCCGCCCACAAGCTCATCACCCTCGCCTTTTCCCTCCCCGAGAGCACGACCCTGCTCCTCTCCGCCGCGCCCCAGGCCTCCCCGGTCGCGACCCTCGCCCTGCGCCTCGCCACGAGGCTGCGCGCCCTGTCCCTGCTGCTGAGCGAGAGCCGCGTCTTCCTGCGCTCCTGGGGCCTGCTGGGCATATACTTTGCCGGCCGCCGCCTCGTGCTGCCCCTTCTCGAGAAGAAGACGAAGCCCCAGGCCGTCGACGAGAAGACGGGCGCCAAGCCCGACACGAGCGCCGAGACGCTCGACAAGACGATTGCCTGGGCGCAGTTCATCACGCTCGTGCTGTTCCAGTCGCTCGAGAACGCCTACTTCCTCAGCGGCAAGGGCGTCTTCGGCCTGACGCCGGCGCAGCAGGTCAAGGCCGCGCGCTGGAGCACGAGGTCGTGGTCGGCCTACGTCGGGCTTGAGATTGGACGGCTGCTCATCGAGAGGCAGCGCCGCAAGACCGGCGACGCGACGAGCGCGGAGCACAAGGAGTGGAAGGCCGCGTGGCAGAGGAGCTTCGTGAGGAACGTGGCGTGGGCGCCCTTGACGGTGCACTGGAGCACGGCCGACGGGTTCCTCAACGACACGGTCGTCTGGGCCATTGGCTGTGTGCCCGGCGTTGTCCAGATGAGGCAGCTCTGGAAGGACACGGCCTGAGGATGCTAGACTATCGTACATGATAAAACGGGTGCGACCTTATGGGTATCGTTGTAGAACACGGTCATGGTTCCTCGGCAGGACAAATAATTACTCCGCTGGTGCCAAACAGCCTCTCAGAATGAGCAATGGACTTTTACGAAATACCAGGTCATTTGAATTATGCTTCTAACTACCAAACACGATCCTCTTCACCCCGTGGCCCCAAATAACAATGGCAACGCCATGTCCATGCAACAGAGCCCCGTCAGCTCCAGCGAAACGCCAGCGCCATGCCATTTTTACATCATGAACCCCTTCATGTCAGCAAGCGTCCAGTACCTGCGCATATTCTCCGCCCCGAGCGTCTTGACCTCCTGATCTAGATGCGTCCACAGCACATCGCCCCAGCTGTCGAGCTTCTCCAGCAGCACGCTCATCTGCAGCTCCACCTCGCCGGCCCGGCACGCGCGCAGGTACGCCTGCAGGCCCTCCATGCCCTTGTGGATCTCGCGGTGCTGCCGCAGCAGCTCGGCCTTGCCGCCGCGGAACTCGGGCATCTTGCGCGCAAGCTGCGGGAAGAAGTAGTTCTCCTCGATCGAGTGGTGCGCCTCGAGGTGCTGGATGAACGAGAGCCCCTCGCTGAGAAACTGCCGGATCGACATGCCTTGCGGCCGCTTGTTGCTCGTCGCCGCCGTGTGGAGCATGGTCCACGTTGTGCGAAAGTGGTTGTGCTGAGCGGTGCGTTAGCCAAGATTGCGCTACAAAAATGGGAAAAGGCCCAAAAAAAAGGGTCCATACGAAGTAGTCCATCTTCACGGCTAGGGTATTGAAAGTGCGAAAGTCGGCGGCTGAGAGGGGTGGCAGCTGGGCCTCTGGCGCTGATAAGGTTTCTGCGCTGGATGGCTGGCGCGCAGCCGGCTGCTCGTGGAGTGAAGCCATGATGGATCTGGAGCTTGTGGAAGACAGCTGTGAGAAGTTTCGTCTCGATGTATGCGTGTTGGCTGGGCGCTGAAGATCACGGGCCGTGATAGTGCTGAGTCTTCTAGTTTGCGGCGTAGCTCTCAGCCTTGCAATGCTGTGGTTTATTGGGACGGTCGACGGTTTAGACAGCGAGTTCATTGGCAAAATAGGCAAGGGCGGCCATGACGACTAAAAAACAGGCATGGGGTTTTGTATGTTTCTATAGTTTCTCCTTCGGCCACCTAGACCTACAAAAGAGTTGACAGAACGCCCAATCACACATCTGATGTTGTCATTCGAAGGTGCCGATTCCCCTCGGTGGCCATGCCGGCCTATTTGTTAGGTCTGAGTAAGCTTCCTGGCCGTAGACGACCTTTTCTCGCCTCATGCCTACTCCACAGGTCTGGCGCCGATTTTCACCCGCGCGGGTCAGACGCAAGTAGCCCGCGCGCGTCGTTTTGTGGCATCACGTGCATCTTGGTGGCGAGCGGCCGGCTCTCTGGGTGCATGTTGATCCTAGGGGCTTTTCTCGCGTGAGATCCTATCAAGATTTGACGACACAAGGACCAGTATCTCTCCATCGATCATCCAGATTCTGAGGCATTCCGTGTCTTTCCCCGGCAACTCGTGTCAACATGCATATCCGAGTAGATCCTGATTCTCGTTTTCTTAGTCTTAATATCTACTCCATCAAACTTGCCACACGCGAACTTTTTTGATACACACACGTCTTGCCAAATCAACAATCACCATCATCCTTGCGGCTTCATCAACGTAACGGGAGAAAATGCATTCTATAGCCTCTATTCCGCGAAGCTACACGTCATACCTAACGTAGGGGCTGTCCCCTGTCCTCTGACTGACCACCCCTGCGCGCCTGATTGGTTTTTTGACCAAGCGACCAAACCCTGATGCCAAAACCGCAGATATTAGCAAGCAAACAGAAAAGCCCACCAACGGCCACGCTTAACCCCGTACAGCGGCGCCCAGCGCACCGCCG